CCCACACCCACACTCACACCCACACCCACACCCACACACAAGATCACGAATGAAGATCACTTAGGACCTTATCTGGCGGGCCACGAAAGTGAGACAAAAGATTCACCGATCAAACTGAAATTTATAGGAGTGACTACTGACTATGAGCGCTACGATTGCTGAAAGTTTCATGAAAAACTGATGATGTTTTCTATGGGGGCCGGTAACAACACAAAACGTTCCCCGTCCTTTCTCTGATTTTATTCTAGCAAACAATAACCAAAACAAAACGCACACAAGATAAATTACTATGCAACCATAGGAATCGTGAAAACAAAACAAAACAAACCGAAAAACGATATGCAGAGCAACTCACCAACAAAAACCACAAACCGCACACTAAAGTAAAAAAAATCAGAAAAAACATAACGACTAGTATGACATATAAAACAACAGAGTCGCCTCAAACTTACCCCGATCCAAAACAACGCCATGATAAGAAATATCGCAAACACGACAACTCATTGCCGTCAAAAAAAAAGAATAGATAAGCCATCTGATGAGTCCTTTGAGGAAGCACAAAACCGGTCATAGCAGCTTCTTCACACCCACACCCACAAACAACTACAACTAAACGAAAGTTAATAATTCTCATCTCAGAAGAGTAGCTGTTGTTTCCACCATATTCGATAGGTATTCACCCCACAATGTATGCTTCAAGAAAGTATGATAATACTGTTTCGAAGGTAAAACATAGAGAAAGAAAATACTCATGTGCGGCGCGAATGATACGTAGTAAGCCACTAGAGTAAGCTGAGAAAACCAGTGACTAGTATCATAGTCACAAGCATTCAGAAATAGGATCAATATCTGAGGTAATTGTGTCAAGAAACAAGCGATAGGACCCAATAGTAGATCGATTCGTTTTCGTGTTTGATCCAGCAGAACGCTATATATGGTCTTTTGATGAGCATGAGCCTTGGCTCGAGTGATTACCACGACAATTATCACTGCTGCCACTAAGTTAACCACAAAAGGAATTACCTGATGAACCAGTGAAAACACTTTTGTGAGTTGTTGTTGAATAGTCGGAATCACGAGGATACACCACGGAAATAGATGATCTGGATGACTGACTAACTTGTACTGTATGATGAATATGAAATTGGAACTCAAAACAACCGATCCAATAATGAAGATTAATGAGACTGCCATCGTCGGCTTTTGTAATGAAGACCATCGAACATATTGCCCTGCAGCTAATGCTCTTTCCACGGTGATGATGGCCATGAACCACAAACTGACATAATGGAAGGTAAACATGAGAAAGGGGAGACCCTTGCACATGAGTTTATTTATCCCATCTGAAATGATAATTCGACGTATTAAGTAGATATAGATCACTCGTGAGAACAAGATCATTAGCACCAATAGACTACAAGTGGAAGTTACCAGAAGATGAAGAACTACTCCGTTTTTGCAAAGTTTTGAGTGTATGAAAGTGCTGATGGATAGACCGTTGAAGATGATACCGATCAGTAAAAAGAGGCTTGGTCCGATGAAATGACCGCGACCCCAATCAGTTTTCTCCATGAGAAGTTCCAGCGAGATATAAAAACGACTAGGCGAAAACTGACACAACACACCCGTGACACACCTAGGACACACGCAAACGAAGTCGGTCTTGTTCGTCAGATCACCCTGAACACAATGTCCTTCATTCTGACAGTAGTTGCATACGGTATACCGTCGTTGATATGAAAGACAATTACTCTCATTCTTCTCGGAATAGCTACAATAGCACAGGTAACCATCAGATATAAAACAGGTGCCATAGGTTAAATTGTGGCAGAAATGTGGAAACAAAGAAACAGATTGCCAGCTAGTCTCAGGCAGCACATGGCATCTTGTTGGTTGCACATCGAGGTCGACCGTAAAGTTTCGTCTGGTATTGGAACAATTGATGAAAAGTAGATGCAATGTACTCTCCACTGAGCCTGTGTAAGACTGAAAAGAAAATAGTATGCCGATCTCCGGAAGGACGCCAATATTATTGCGCTTATCACGTGTTTTGATAGTTTTGACCAGTGGAAATGACATGAATGGTGGTATAAGAATTTGATGACGAACAGTGGGATAATTACCAGAGAGTTGAAGTAGTTGCACAAGAAATGGTGATTGATTTGGCTCTTGACGATTTAGCATGATGACAGGTCGATCAAATTTGCAATCAGACGTGTTGCAGATACACATATGCCCGTAAACAGGAAGATCAGAACGTGGCACACAAGTTTCATTCGAATTGCATCTAGCTCTTTGACATTTGAGATTCTCGACAAAACAGTGTGGCTCCATATAACCATGTGGACAAACACAAATGCTCTCGGTTCTTGCAAGAGAACGTGATGCACAACGAATCTGATCCATTCTAGTCTCGCAAAGTTTGCCTTTCCAGTTACGTGGACAGATGCAAAGATATTGATTTTTTTCACTTTGGTAGCAAGTCCCGTTATTTTGACAGTAGTTGTGTGAACAAAGCCACGGCAATGAATGATCCGGAAATCGAAGTATTTTAGTGATACGAAATACAGGTAGAAAATCCAGCGGACTAATAGCATATTCCCAGAAATAGATAAACTCCGTTGAGTGATAAGCTTCAATTCGTACAGAATAGTTTCCGGGAGGTTTCGGGCGGGGATAAATCAAATAGATGTCATTCTTCGATGGAAATTCTTTATCTTCGTCGGTGATAAAATGATGATCGACTACTTGACTATCGTTCAGCAGTAGCATGAACAGAACGTTTAAGACAAGTGGAAGATCAGGACGATGCCATCGATCACAACGAATTCGAATAATCACTCGTCGAGTATTGTATTGACAACGATTGCCGTAAAAACTCTGTGGGCAAAAACATGATATCTCCGAGCTACCAACTGCTTGCAAATAAAATCCCCTATTACAGTACAAGCGTGGAATAGATAATTCTTTTTTCTCATAGTTGGCTTGATGATCCGTATGAAGAAAACCAGTCGTGGATTTGGCTTTAAAGAAAGATTGCCTATAACATCTATCATTATTATCTAATGTTTGTCTGTCTTTTTGTGAACGATAGCTAGCATTATCATCGCTTAAGTTCGGACACCAAAAACGGTGAGACTTGTCGTTACATGTGATACTACTCTTACATCTAGTGCTCTTGCATCCATTTCTATCTGCACATGGAAATTCTCCTCTCAAGCATCTGCCATCATGCCAGTAACAAATTGATTCATCTATTCCATCCACACAGTCCTTGATACCGTTGCAGATGGCCGTATAATCGATACATTTCGTTCGATTATCGCACAGGAAACGATCACCAACCATACGATGATCGCCAGGACACCATAAAACATTGCGCTCATCACGAGCTCCAATACAATCGATGTTACCATCACCAACTCGACTCCAAGCAATACATGGACGATGCAAGCTTGGATTCTTCACATATTCATCAGTGATACAAAAGTATTCAATGCTATTGTTGCATTCTCGTTCCAGAATCCATGTTTGCTTCGAGGAAGAGCAACCCATTTCGTCTTCACCATCGTCACAATCGAATTCACCATCACAGAAGTAATTTTGATCAATACATTGGCCTGTTCGATTGCATTTGTACAAACCAGCATCACAAATCCATTTCGAACAGTTTTTTTCATCTCGACCTCCCATGATGTCCCACAATGAATTACAGTAACGATGAAAATGAAGTCGAGCGTCTTTGATACGATTGTCATGAAATCGATCACCTTGAAAAACCCAACACTCATAATTATCATTTAGATCACACTTGAAATGGGACCAACGCATTTCTTTCGATATTTCATCGCTTCCATCGACACAGTCGTCAATACCATTGCCTAATTTTGAGTAGCTGACATACTGTAACGGAGATGTGACAGTTTGACATTGATAACGAAACAAGTGGTTCATCGGATAGTCTGGATTTCTTTCATCATCGCCATAGAGACAATCGATGTATCCATCGTTGACTCGACGCAGTGCTAAGCGATCTGATGTATTTTTGCACCGATGATATGGTGTTGATAACGAAGGTGAATGATTATTGTTTGTGTGTATTTCGTTCGATGATTGATTTATCAACTTCTGGCAAAGTAAATGAGACAATGGAAAAAATGGATAAGACATGAGCTGTTCTAGTTGTTGACCATTGAACCAGATTTTTTCGGAAACATTGAACTGCATTCCGAAGCATTCTATTTTACCACTGAAATAGTAGAGATCGGGTGCTCTAGGTATTGGTTTTCTACGATTATTCAAATTGCTGTAGAATGCTTTGATGCGAGATCGATTATAGACAATATGCAAACCTGGAAAAAAGGCGTTTTTTGCTGAATAGACAATGAGTTCTTCACAATGCTCCATGATATTTTTCAAAGCCAGTTCACGTAGACCCGCATCATGACGAATACGTAACAAATGTCCAAGGCTATACAGACATCCAGATTTGTTGGTCAAAGGAGGAAGGTCTAACACCGTTCTATTACAAACTCCATTGAATGCTTCTAAATAATCTAACATGTAAGCCTTTGTATCGCAAATGTAAGCGGCTTGGCGGTGATTGCTACAGCCATTAGTGTCCTTTAGAACAGATGACCAAGGAATGCATTCGCCGTTTCCGCATGAAAACTGATCTTTTCGACATTGTCGGTTATCACAATCAAACGATGTTTTTTTCGAACAGCTATAGTATCGCGTGTAAAGCTCTTCACTTTCTTGTTCATCACTCGAATCCATACAATCAGGCATTGCATCGAAGGCAAATTCGATCGGAATGCACATTCCATTGCGACATTGAAATTCATCTTCTTCACATTTTTGGAATTCCAGCAGATGACAATCGAGTTCATCAGCCCCGTTTTGGCACTGAACAATACCATCACAAATATGTCGCCATTCTAGAAATAGATATGCACCTGTGCATACGATACCATCCACGAGTCTCGTAAGAATTTCATAATTGTTCACATTTGCTGTCATAGTTTGTAGAGATAGAATGTGACCCGGGTTCTTTAATTTATCAGTAATACTATAAGCACATTTTCTACCTATCCAGTTTTGTGTACAATTGCATATAGCTACCACAGCTAGAAGAGTGGCCACATCATCATTCAAATAAGCAGCATATTGTTCGATCAAATCGAGTGGGATCGACAAATCAACCAAATCATCAGTAGTTACGTTAAGTTTCTTCAGCTTTTCCAAAGTCCATAAATTTCCATTCTTGCATGATTTTATTGTGCTGCGTCTCTCAGTTGGGTGACAGAAGTGACGTCTATCAACAGCAAAGCAATCTGCATGTATTTCATCTTTCGTGTAAGTCATCCAAATAGGATCATCCTTTTCCAAAGATACTCTTATCAGACTACAAATGAGAAAGAGATAACACTGTGGAGTCTTCATCATTATATTCTCGTTTGAATGACAATTAATAGACAAATAAATTCTTTTTTTGAGCAGACCTATGTTATTCGATCTTTGTCACGCACACTGTGCCAACAAGACTGTTTCCTGTGACGAGAAGAATCTTTTCTTTCTTTAATCAATGTGTTTTTTGGTGTATTTAGATTTATAGCGCAAAAATGGATTTCTACGTCTTCCATTGGCAAGCAGTCAGGCAAAGTGACGATTGATTGAGATTGACGGTGTGGGTGAAGTTGTGACTGTGGGTAGTATCACTTAGTCAATTACACCCACCCACACCCACACCCACATCCAAAAGGCCAAATATGGAGGGGTGATTAATACAAAAGAGCCGTTCTTCAGTTCACTGATATTTCTTGATTAATTTATTTATTACAAATACAACTGAATTTTCTTTTTCAACGAAACAATAAAAAGTCAGAGTTACGATTAAATCGGTAGCAATGGAACAGATTTTGTTAATCGGTGCGTCGTATAAGGTCAGGTAGAACACCCATCGGTCGTAAGAATACCAGTAGTCGATATGGCACAACTGATGAACGATAATTCGTTAAATATTCAATTTGTTCATTTGAGATAAATTTACAAATACGACGAGTACCTTGCCCAATCGTTTCACGTTGGATCTTGAACGTCCCAGGTTTTTGACGACACTGCAGAACAATTTTAGCTTGATATTGCTGACCTGATGATGCTCTGAAGTTGTAACGAACACTGTACATATCTAAACTTGCATATTGAATAGAAGGAGATGTATAAACATATTCCATGCCAGGTATGTGACCTGGACGGACGGCTAATCTAGTTCCATCAATGAGAGTGTCTCCAGGAATGAGAAATTGTCGTTGTTTGAGAATCGATTCAGTAGCAAGAGTGGATGTTCCGTGGTAGGTGACAATCCATGTTCTCCATATGTCATGACAATCAGCCAATGTTGGATCAACACTTAATCCAAACGCTGCCCATTCGCGTGGTACCACATAATTTGCACTACCAGCTATAAGTACATCGGGTTGATTAGATAAATAGCATATACTACAATAACATCTGTCGTGCTGTGTGGCAAAGAGTGACTTTGGCCATTTTAAACTTAAAACAAATTCTCGACAGAGTTTAAATGTAGGACATTCAATAGCTTTGATGGGTGGCAAATAGGTAGGTAATAGTGTTTTTTTTCGAGGAAAAGGTTTCGGTTTAGCTTGGATGGTTGTGAACGACTGTTGCGTGCCTTCGACAATTTTTGTTGTTAGTTTCTCGAACTTGCTCGTTTGTTGAGTTTGTAATACTTCTAATCTTTCAACGGCCGCTGTGATTGAGTTAATTTTATCCTCTATTGTAGTCAGCATTTGCACGTTAGTTACCGTAATTAATGATTTTTCTCTTTCTATTGGATCATTTGTCAATATTGAGGACGACTGCAATGGAGGCGTTTTTCGCATGATTTCTACTGTTCTTTGTTGAGATGGTAAATCAATTGATGGTTGCTCAAGGGGGACCTTCCCCTCAGAAAACTTAATTTTCCTAAGAAAAGTCGAAGTCGAATTTTTATCATAGGAAGATACATCGTGATCTCCTCTTTCAGAATATATATGGTTTTTCTCAAAACGAATAGATTTTGACTGACTTATCGGCTGAAATTTGGGCCCTACCGTCATTTTTTTCGGAAAATTTTCGCGGCTTTCTTAAAAGTTTTTCAGTTTTTGAAAGAATGCCTTTCCATTGACCTCAGCATTGAATAAAGGTTTTTTATATTAATCATTAAGAGCCTACTAATGCTTGAGATAAAGATCACATACTTATAGGCTGTCCGAAACATTGATGTATAATTTGCGTGTATTTCGCAAAAATCGATTTCTAAAACTTATTTGGCGTTTTTCTCAAAATCAATTTTTTCGATCGTACCGTTTACGCGGACAAGAATTTCTTAATAACGACTCAATATAGAAGTGATAATTTTTTTTGTTGAATAGAGGACAGTTAGGGCTAGATCCTCACGATCTCCGATTTTTGAATTTCTCTTTTATTGAAATAAAAAACTTAGATATTTCAGTTTGATGAGCGCTTTGAATTTGCACATGTGACGAAAAAAGTGTTTTTAAAAATCAAATAAAGGGAAATTTAAAAATCGGAGATCGTGAGAATCTAGCCCTAAGGTCACTCTACAATTTAAAAGCCAGCCCGACATGATTACATAGTAACCCCATTGTGAAATCCTTGCCCGCGTAACGGGTAATGAATTCACTAGAACTTGTGTATAAGTTTGAGATTTGGGGGAGATATTTTAACCATAATCTATTCTAACCAAGACTAACATTCTCCGAAATTTTCGTTGATATCGGAAGAGAAAATAACAAAGTTCGTTTCTGAGGGACCCCTTAAGAGGCTTATTTATCTTTGAAAGATTAGTTTATTTTTTCGATCTGCTGTATACAGAATCATTGGTAGAGATTGGGCCGAGAGGCCTGGACCCATCCTGTGGGACAAATATTCCCTGAAGGGTGAAAGCTCCATATGTTATAGAGCGATTGGGATTAAGCAGCGGATTAAAGCGACACTAGAACGGAGACCGTTCGCGAAACTTGAGCCGCGTATCCTCTGCTAAACTCGACTAGAAGGGACATTTTCTTTCGTCGTTTAGTGTCGAACAGTCTCAAACCGACGCTAACAGAGGAAATACGGGGAATCGAATTTCGCGCCAGAAAAAAATTTGATACGGTGACTTCTCCTTTCAAAAGTCAGGCCACTCCTTAGAAAATATCTGGTTACGGACTTGAAAGTACATGAGAAGTATCGTAGGAATGATAGAAAATTTGTTAAATACCTTTCTGCGTCTAATAGACGTGTGTTGCTGAGAGGAATAACATAGCAAGATTCGGCACAAGACAAAGGTTCTTCGCTATAAAAAAAATATTTGTTATTCAGTCATATTCATGTAGGAAGAAAAAATACTGAAAGACTACTTACTTGTTGGATTCCGAGTCGCCACTGGCGGTTTTCTGCACATGATAATAACTCGAATATGATACTTCATCTTGAAAATAACTTGAAGGCTCTTCTGCGACAGCAACACGAGGAAGTTCTACATATATTTCCTTATTCAAAAGTCGAAAGTTAATTTGAATAATTTTTTACATACTCGGGACGATTACTGGTGCATCCTTGAGAATGTCTCGTTTAAGATAGCGAATGAGCGCATTGAGCACATAGTTGTATGAAGACGATTCAGAAAGATCATAATGAACAAGATGTGAAGTGATTAGACCTAGCCAACCCTTTGGTTGAAACCTTTTCAAGTAGCACGGTATAATCGGTTTGTTTAATCGAAATGCATAATGCAATTCCATTTTACAATATTGGGACACTTGAAATTGTGGTGTTAAAAAGCAGCAGACAGCAAGAGACTCTTCCACAGCTTGACCCATTCTAGAAAATCAAGATGTCCGTTGTAATGAGCTTTTTTCTATAAAATAGTCACCCGTCAAGTGGCTCAGCCGTAACACCGTTTTTTGTATCCATCCATATCGGTATCCCAGCTTGTTGAAACTTGTTAGATATTTCGATTACTCTGTCTTGAGCATCATTCCAAGCATATGAAAGCATTACATGCTTGCCAGAACTGTTAAAGGATGACATGTGACCCGCACAAGACGTCAAAATCGTACAAAAAATACAAAAACAAAAATCTAAAATTCAATTGGAAAAGGTTTCAGCGCAATCTCAATTCAAATTCGTCTTCAATATCAATCCATGGTTTAAAGATAAAAACGACAAATCTTTTTTATTGATCATGTCGATATTTCAATTTCTTTTCTCACCTTAAACAGGACGAAAAAAGCTCCCTGGATATTATCAGTGTTATTCTTCTTCTTCCTTTCTTTTACATACATTTCTACGTATTAAAATATTTCACATAAAATGCTACTTCCTTTGATGTTCTTCTCAAGATTTTAGAATAGACTGCAGCGGAAAAGATAATCTGAAAAAAAGGGGGAAAAATCATTATGTGATTATTCTGTTTGAATTAGATGTTACCTAAATGTTTCAACAGTTGGTGTGGACATTGACACCATTTTGTTCAAAATTGAATTCTACATTATCACGGCTTTATCTTCGTAGTGATTGTTATCGTTAATTCTTTCCAACTTCTAACTATAAACAGAATCCTAATAAAATTTATACGAATTTCTAACGACAGTTTTTAAATTTTGAACTAAAAAAGCTTTCGAATCGATTCCACAATTCTTTCACCAAGAAGAGGGATTGCTCTTTAGCTTGACATTGACATTGATTGGGGAGTCAAACATGAACGCTTGACTTTCTGTGAAAAATGATTCACTCTTACTGGCTTGATAAAATCTATTTTTATTGAAAGCATTTCGTACAGATAAAACCACCTTTACTGGTTCAATTCAAATTTTTCTTTCACACCAGAATATACGATAATAATAGTTCTATTTATATTGAGACACTTATTGCTCCATTTCGAACAACGTTCTAACTGGAAACTAAACTGTGCTTGGTCGTTTGTTATCAAACCAAGCGATAGAGTAATCATAATACAAAACTCAACTTTGACGTCCAACTATATTCGACACCTATTCGTAATCATTACTTTGAATAGTCATCTGGAGTACACCATTTCACAGAGCATCTAAGAGCGCAAATTTTTGGCAAAAAAGACTTGTCAGTACAGCCCCATTGAGGATGAAATGTAGAACTCACATATTTATGTAAGCTAGAATACTCAACGGCTGTAAACCTAGTTGCTACGTTCTGTAATGGGGTCGTCTGTAATGAGGTTCAGTCCGTAACGGGGGCCGGTCTGTAATGGGAAGGTGAATAGAAGCTCTGAAACTTCGACTAATAACTTATAGTCACTATTTTCTTCGAAAATCTAAATCAGTTCCACAAAATAATAGAGAAATGACCGAGACAATGTAGAGAAAAACAGAAAATAAAGATACTTCCATTTGAATTGGAGCATCTGATACGCATCCAATGATTGTTGGTATCTTCCTTTTACCATAATAGTGATGATTGCTTGAATCATTGCTTCATTCTTGGCGTAAACATCAGATAATCGAACAACGCGAAAATTTTCTCTAAACGCACTTGATAGCATAAGACGAGCGACGACCATAGACATGTATGCGTCGTTCTTTCTTTCTTTCTCTCTTTTCTTGATCGTTCGCTTCTTTATGACGACCTTCTCTTTTTCTTCCTCGTGCTTTTTCTTTTCATATCTCCCTTTCTTATCATCTTTCCAAGCATGGGTATGGGGGTGGGTGTGGGTGTGGGTGTGGCTGAGGGTGTGGGGTGTGGGCGTGGGTGGGTGTGTGGGGTGTGGGGTGTGGGTGTGTTGGTGGGGGTGGGGGATGGGTGTGAGTGTGAGTAAAGAGCAGAATGACACTCACACCCACACGCACACCCCACACCCATATCCTCACACCCACACCCACACCCTCACCCACACCCACACCCCACACACCCTCACCCACACCCACATCCACACGCACACCCCACACCCATACCCACACACTCACATCCAACCACATCCACACCTCACACCCCACACCCACACCCACACCCACACCCACCCACATCCACACCCACCCACACCCATACGCACCCACACCCACACTCCACACCCATACC